ACACAGCACCCCCCGCCCCTGGGCCTCTTCCCTCCCCCAACCCCCTCCCGCCCAAAGGATCCCCTGGATCTGTGGGATTGTTAGATGGAAAGCGGTTCTATCATCACCCAAGTGCAGAGGGAAGAAACCCTGGTGCTTGCAAAACAAGGTAAGGGAGAGAAAGTTAGAAACTTTGCAATAGGAGGCAGGAGGCATCTCTCTCCCCACCCCTCTATTTTCACCCCCACCTCCCCAATCTGTGCGGGGGGGAGTCAACTCCGGATCTAGGCAAGGGATCTGTGCATTGGGGAGGGGGCGTCTCTCTCACCTTTCCACGCTCGGGATCCGCTCTAGTTAGCGATCTGGGGAGGGGCAAGGGGGGGCTTTGCTCTTCCATCGCTGCAGCTTTGCGGGGCTCTTCGCCACCCCCTTAATTTTGGCTAAAGGGGCGACTCAGCCCAGATGCCAAAGCCTCTCTTGACCCTTAAATGTCTTTGCGCTCTTCTGTCCCCCCCCCCCCCCCCCAGTTCCTTCCTGCCTTTTCTCCCTCGCTGGGGTGGGCTTGTTTGTGTCTCTGATCGACTCGCTTCCCTCCTTCCTCTTCTGTCCTGAGTGGCTGGGATTTGGGGAATTTTCACAAACATCCTAGCGATGTGAAGAGGAAGGCATTCCAGGGGCTGCCATGCATTCCCACCCCACCCCCACCCCCTGTCTGCGGAGCCCACCCCCTCTCTGCTCAGCCCTGGATTTTCTTGCATTTGGAACGATATTTTTTCCCCCACATGCCACCGTCTCAAGCCAGGTTGGAGCTACATGGCTTCCCACCAGCTGCTGTTGGGTCTGCCTTGGCCTTGCCTGCAAGTAGGGTGATCAGACGCCCAGATATTAGGAGCTTTGTTTTATACAAGCAGCGATTCCGCACCCTCCCCCACCAATAAGAAATGTTTTGGGTTTTTGTTTTGTTTTGTGTTTCCAGGCTTGCTATCTGCTCACCCTGTCTACAAGTGGGTGCGCTCACAGGCTGGGGGGGAGGGGGTGCCCCCTGCTTTTGCTGCTAACTTTGCAGGCTTCCCCAGAATCCAGATCCCTGCTTGGTTTCATCATGCGGGTTGGGGGGACACAACAATTTAAAAATTGATCCTCTGGCTTTTGTAGTGGAAACCGAGCGAGTGGGGATGTGCCTTTGATGGGTCGCTCGGTGGTCCCGGTCTGCTTCGGGGTTTACTAGCCGCTAGTTTCAGCTTCGCTGCAGGTCATAACACCCCGTGGGGTGGAGGAGTTTTTAAGGGGGGGGACTAGATCTTTGGAAGGCTGAGAGCCCTCCCTCAGCTGGGCAAAACTGTACTTCGAGGCTGTGACTAGAGGAGCAGGAATAATGAGTTCATTGTGTATTGGGTGTTTCTGATTGCCCTGGTGATGCGTTTGTTTGTGTGCAACAGAACATGGAATTGTCCCCCCCCCCCATTTTTTGTAATGCCCTGGGGTTGCGTGTGGGTTAATGGGGGGCATCAGTTCTTCCTCTGTGTTCTTGAGGAAGCCAGAGGTACTCCTTTGCGGGGCCAGAACTTTAGGGATGCCCCCTACCCCCTCTGCAAATGCAAGAGGTACTCCTTTGCGGGGCCAGAACTTTAGAGATACCCCCTCTGCAAATGCGCCGCACCCACAATTGGAGCCCCACTTTCCAATGCCGCTCTGCTCCCCTTTTTCAGGCATCTCAGCAGAGGGCAGTTTTCTCACAACCGGGGCCCCTGGCAGCTCTGAATTGTGACACTTCACCACTTGGGTGTCTTTTTTTTTTTTTCTTCCAAAAGAGCCGACCCTTCCCATCCACCCTCGGAGGGTGACTAAATGAGCAATGCCCGTGGGTTGGGTGCACCCTGTGTTTTGAAACTGATGGAGCTGTGCAAAAGTGCAGTATGTTTTGTCCCTGGGATGCTAGAAATCAGCGACCTGCCTTTACGGAGTGAAGGGAGCCTGTTTTCCACCAATCCCTCTTGCTGTTGGGAGACCTCTATCTACAAGAGAGCTAGAGACGTGTCTTGAAGATGCTGTTCTCCCTGGCACCCCCACCCCCTTGGGTGCCCTGGTTGAGAGAGAGGTTTAATTGAGTGCCAGCGTCTAGTCTGGCTTGCCATGTTTCAGGGAAATGGAGACACATGGCAGTTGCCAGAGAAGTGCTAATTTGGGTGGCAAAATCCCTCGGAACAAACAAGTTGGCTGTATCGGAAAGTCGGTGGTGTACCTTGCTGGAGGAGACCTTGTGTGTTCTTTTTCCTTTTGTCTCAGTGGGTGGCACAAACCAGGAGATGAATAAGTCTGAAGTATCTTTACCAGTAAAACTTGATCTTTATAAGGAAGTGGAACAAGTGTGTGTGTGTTTGGAGAGTGATTAACTTGCAGACGGGAGCCTGGGCAAGCAAGGAGCTTTGGATCCCTTCTTTGCTGGCATGGCTGGGTACGGTTGGGGTTGAGGGCAGACAAGGTGGGGTCCTTCCCCCCCACACACACTTACCAAGCTCCTAGGGGTTTTGTGTGCTGCTTTTCCTTTGGATTCTTTTGGACCTCAAATGATCCCTTCAAAAAGACAGTTTCCCTAGCCAGTGTCTGAATTCCCTATTATCTGCGTAATTGGAACATTGCGAACGGTTTGTGACATTGGCTTTTGGCAGTGCACGGGCCTCTAAAGTTGAGGTTTCTCTGCTTCTGTGCTTGTTTGTTTTCCTTTTGGTGGAGTTTACCCTCTGCAATTCATTAGCGTGGTTTCAAAGGACAAGTTGTGGAATCTTCAGAACGTTAGTGGCACTCAGAAGGGGAGCTGTGTTAGTATGTAACTTTCAAGACAGAAGTCCTGGGGCACCTTACAGGCTCCCAAAAATATACATAGGAGCATGAGCTTTCATGCGTAAAACCCACTTCTTCAGATGATGAGCTGGAACACACATAACAGAAACCAAGTATTATCAATATTGATTTATAAATACTTGGGTTCTGTTGTTTCTACGCCAGCTCATCATCTAATGAAGTGGCTTTTTCCCACAAAAGCTAATGACAATATGTATTTTTGTTAGTTGGCTCCTGGGAGTCTATTAGACGCCATTCCCTCCTCTCCTGATCAGCACTGAAGATAGTTTGACACTCCTGTTGTCTTTCCCTTTTAAATTAATCCCAGTAAGAAAATAGTATTAGGTCCCTTAATTGTCTGACAAAATAAACAACCTTTCACTTTTAGAGGTTTAGAATCTTTGCAGACGAGGTTTTCTCGATGTTTGCTCTTGAAAACATAGAGGCCCGTTTTAAAAAGGTACTCCTGCTGTTTGTGGGTGAGATTTATGGACTTGGTAGGAGCAGCTTCTGCTACCTTTGGGATGTTTACAGAACAGCAAAGTGTTAATGGGGTTTTCTCTCCTTAAGAAGCTGTGATTTATGTGTAAGTGGGGGAATGCCCGTGGAGTTCCCCTGTATGTAGAGTCTCCTTTCTCTTTCAGCTGGGGCTCTGAATGTGCAGTAGCTTCCCGGTCAGAAAATGTATTTCCTCCTTGTCTAATATATTTCTTTGCGGGTTAATCAAAATATGGGCACTGTGAGGTTTTACTCGGTCAGCAGCACTGTGGCTCTGTGCGCGCGCATTTCTTTCCCTCCCTCCCCCATTTCTAGGAACTTCCCAAACAGATATTTCCTCTGTCCCCCCTCCCACCCCAAACAAGTGATTACTTCTGAAATGTCCCCAGAGCTGATCCTTACGGAGGAAAGTATTCCTTCCATATATCCTTTGAGGGCTCATTCCCCTCAGAGCCATTGATCCTCCATACCAGGTGCACAGACGCCACCCCCTTTCTGGAGTGGTTGGCCTTCCTAAGGGCTGGGATTGGGCAGGGTTGCTTTTCCCTGTGGCGTTATTCTCAGGGCTGGATTTTGATTGCTGCAGGGGCTCAGGGCTTCTGGCCGTGACAGCCATTTTTGGAGTCTGATCAAACAGCAACGTGATCGTGTTTTGAAAAATGCACAGCAAATTGCAGTGCTCGGGGAGGTAACTGACGGGTGCGTGAGGCCATTTTAAGATGCATTTTAACCGGCCCTTTCAGTCTGTTTACAAAAGAATGGCTCGGAAGCTGCACCAGTTGACTCCTCTTTCCTGAATCGCGCAAAACAGCTTTCCCCTCTGATTTTATCTGTTGAAAGAGAAGCCTAAGAACCTTG